GCCAACAACAAGCCCTGAGCTTTACATGACTCCCATTCTCCACTTTGCCACATCCAAGATGGCGGCCAGGCTGACGTAGGTCTACGTATACATATGATTATATAAGCTTTCACATCAGAGCCACATGCTGAGGGCCGAAGCAGAAAAAAGAGGCTCAGACAGAAGAAAACAGCCAGAAAAAGAGCTGAAAAAAAAAACAGAAAAACAGTTAAGAAACAGAAGAAAACACCCAGAAAAAGAGCTAAAAAAACGTCTAAATAAGATGTAAATAAAAAATAAAAACAGTTAGGAAACAAAAGAAAACACTCAGAAAAAGACCTGAAAAAAACAGCTAAATAAGCTGTAAATAAAAAATAAAAACAGTTAGGAAACAGAAGAAAACACTCAGAAAAAGACCTGAAAACAGCAGCTAAATAAGCTGTAAATAAAAGATAAAACCATCCTATGATAAAGGAGGATGGGCTCTCGCCATGACAACAAAGAGGATAAACAACAACATGACGTAACCAGCAGGAGCTCCTCTGGCTGTTTGCTGCCCCCTGCTGGTCACCGGCTGAACTGCAACAACTTCCTATTTTATGAATGAAAAATCACCTGACTCACACAAACACAGCTCTTATTTTGATTAGTCATGTTTATCATTATCATTTATTTATTTTTGTTTATCTCTACTGATCCTAAAAGCTTTTATTCCCAACAGAAAGTGACTGAAACGTTGTTAAAACCTGTTTGCTTTGGAGGATAAAAGGTGGCTCCTGTCTCTGTTAAGGTTTTTTTCAGGCTAAAAACACTTTAGAAAATCCCCCAAAAATGTATAAAAGGGTTAAAACTATAGAAGACCTTCATATCTGATGATTAAGACTGGGGTTAATGAATCAATATTGAATTGAATTTCTTTTATTTTCAAGCCGTAGTTATTTTTGTTAGCTGTAACAATCAAAATTAAAGTAAAAAAGCTCATAAAATGTCACTGTGTATCTATATGAGTTTGACTCTAATATAATAAATGAACTTTTCACCACCTAATGCTTTCATTTCTGTGATTTAATTGACTTTTTCCAAGTTGAAAACCACTGAAACTGCTGGGCAGAGTTATTAAATCAGGAGAACGTTAGAAAATTACCCCCCAAACAAGATGAATTTTTCAAATAGTTCTAAGTTATTTAGTAAAACCAACTCTTAGTAGGCTGAACACTTTTATAGAGCCATAAAACCAGGAAACGTACCTCATCCGAGTCCAGCAAAGTAGGCAAAGCCCTGTGAGGAGAGGAAGAATTTAAGAATTAAAACCCCCAAAACCAGACAAAAAGCTTTATTTAGATGCTCAGGCCTCACTGGAAATAATTTAAATAGTTTAAATAGGCTGGTAACATCTCAGCTCTACCCTGTGTGCTTAATAAAACTATTGTATTTCTTAATATCACCTTTATTTATTCAGATTTTTATGATTATTTACTATATATGTGTCCTTTTTTAGCTCCAGAACTATTAATTGTCCACTTTTGTGTATTTTTATTGTCATAAATAGTGAATAAGTTGGATAACTGTATTTATCTGAGTCCAATATGTTAATAAAGTAGGTTAAAGAGAAAAAATGTGTTTTAAAAAATCTTAAACAAGAGTATGGTCATTTCTTTATGTCACCTGAAGCCTAAATTTAAATCTATTAAGAACCCATGAGGGTTAAATCAGGCCCCATCTTTGCAAATACGATGAAAATGTCCCGATATTTCCGGGTTTTTCCTCTAAAAACTGTGAAACCGAGCTCCAACTCACACGTCTGCCATGGATGAAGGGATGTTTTCCTCCACCCACTTCAGATCCTCATCCTGTGAAAACAGGAAAATACTAAAGCTACCACAGACTTTCAACACATAAAACAAATCTGGAGGTTAATCCACAGCTAAACTGCTGATAATATGAAGATTAAAAGCTGATTTCTGTATTTATCAGTCCGGGAAAACAGAGACTTGCCATGTCTAATA